ACCTATTGAGGCTAAAGAAAAATAAATAAAAATGAGACCAAAATAAATGAATTATAAATTTTTGAAAATTAAAGTTGATAAATAAACCAGCAAAATATTCTTTATATAAATAAAAAATACATAAACTCCCAATGTGCATAGTAAAGAAAATGTTTAAAACTAAAAACAGAATTAACAAAAAGGAAGATTGCATAGCTTTAATAAGCTAGTTATAAGAAAGAAATATGTCAAACACTGTGAAAATAATGTTCTGGGGAAATGAAAATAACAAAATTGGCACCAAAAGTGATTTTTCACATTGAAAAGACAAAACTCAACCATGGAGGAAATGTAGAAATTTTTAATAAATTAGTCATTTTTTTAAAAAATGAGGCCTATGTAATTTGCTTTATTGGCGATTTCTTTCAAACCTTTATAAATATGCATTTCCTGTTACATTTATACTATTTATAAACAAATGGCAAAGCAATAATAATTTAAACTATTGGTCAGGATCAAATAGGCACATCAGTGGAAACATACTTAAGGTACTCCTATAGAAAGAGACAAATAAAATAAGGAAATGCTGCAAAAGGGAAAATATAAATGGACACACTATAATTATAAGATTAAATAAATATTTCTACTCTTTGAGAAAACTATACACTATTATTTCATATTCACTCAATAAATAATAAAAAGATTGACCAAGTTTTGTATTGTGTTGCTACAGTACAGGGACACTGAGTGTGTTCTTACTGTATGTACTCTTCATGGGACAGTGAGTTGATTCAGCAATGCTAGAGGAAAATTTGCTGACTCAAATTTCGTGACTAGTAATTAGTCTTGAAATTATTGTTTAAAAGAGTACAAATATGAGTGTACACATTTGTTCATGGTATCAGAGTGTATATCTGCAAAAGTTTGGCAAAAGACTAAAAACCTTCTAATGTGCATTAGTTAGATAAATTATAGCATATTCAGACACATTACTGTGCTATATAACCATTATTATGACGTGGATATATATTTATTGACATGGAGAGATATTTTTATTTTTTTATTTTTTTCGAGTTCATTACCCAACTAGATTGCTAATGTCTTGCAGGAGAGAAAATGGTTTATGCTCTTGAAATATCTGACAAAAGTTACCATTCTATTTTATCTTTTCTGTGTGTTTGTGGTTATAATTTTTGCCTGTGTTAGCATAGGTTCTCTAACTAAAATTATCTTTTTTGTTTTTAAGTTTCTTTATCTTTATTGTTGAAAACATTGCAGATATCCCCTTTTTACCCTCATTGATCCCCTCCACTCCGCATCCACCCCACCCTCAGACCTTCCCCAGACCAATGTCTATATCCATGGGTTATGCTTATAGACATGTAAGTTCTTTGACTAATC